CACACCCAACAGCAGAAACTCATTAGAATTGGCTACATTAGGGGTGTGTGGCCTAACATACAAAGGAGTTCCTGCTACAAAAAAAGCTCTGGGTTTTGACAACAAGGTAAACAGAATAAGAAGCAAAAGGTGGGTGTGGCTGGATGACCACACTTCTGGTAACATGGGGGTGTGGCCTAATATGCTAATAGCCTGTGCTGTTGGGTGTGGCCTAATATGCTAATAAGTGTCTGCTGTTGGGTGTGGCCTGTTATGCTAATTAGTTCCTGCTGGGCTTTTTCTACAAAAAAAGCCCTGAGCAGCTGTAATGACATTGGAACAGAACCAATTATAGGTCTTAGAATGTTGTTTGAGTTTCACAGCCTCCAAGATATGAAGAAACTAACCTACTAAATAGAAAAAGCATGAAGCTGCTAAATATGAAAATGCTTGGACCTTGGACACTGGAGTCATTTGGGTCTTCTGTATTTCATGGAGGTGCTCAAAATCCACACCTCTTTGTATTTCAAATTTTTTCTTCAGCAAAGAAAGAAAATGATGGTGGCGGTGTTCATGTGCCCCTGTTGGCGTATGATCCAGTTGACCGTAACCATTCAACCTCTGTGCTACTGCCATTTTGTCCCATGCTTTTAACATCCCAGTGGTGGTGCAGATGGCCCACTGAGCTGGATTTCTGGTGGGTGACTGTTTGAGGCAACTCTTATGTGCACCTTCAGCTGAGCTAACAAGACTTAATAGCACAAACAATGTGAGCCCTCAAAGCAGTTCTGTTATTGGCTTATAGATTGTTCTGAACACTCATTTGTAGCTGTAGTTTCAAAAGATCAACATCTAGTGACTCATTGACTTACTGTCGACCAAAAGACGTCCTGTCAATTATTCGCTATGGTGGCACATGCAGCCTTTTCTGCTGGCTGTGCATGCTTCAGAATAGCCAGCATGGCTTATGCAGAAGTAAGGTGCTGTTCCATTCTTTTCCATTGTGAACTACCCAGTCCATCTTTTGTAAGTAAAGGTAAAGGTTCAGGGTTGGGGTGCTCATCTCCGTTTCAAAGCCGAAGAGCCAGCGCTGTCCGAAGACGTTTCCGTGGTCATGTGGCCGGCATGACTAAACACCAAGGCACACGGAACGCTGTTACCTTCCCACCGAAGTGGTACCTATTTATCTACTTGCAATTTCTTGCTTTCGAACTGCTAGGTTGGCAGGAGCTGGAACTGGAGAAGGGAGCTCACTCCCTCATGCGGCACACTCGGGTCTCGAACTGCTGAACTACTGACCTTCCACAGCCTGCAGTTCAGCGTCTTAACCACTTGAGCCACCGCAGCTCCTTTTGTACTCCTTTGCTAAATACAGCGATGTTCTTGCTTTTCGCATTTTGTGCTGGTTGCATCAAGAGCTGAATGTGGGTTTACAAGTTTTCTAACATTGAAACTTTTTCACTGTCTTATTCTTAACTGTCTAAAATCTCTGTAAGAAAAAAAAATCCACATTTTAAAAACCATCCCAGTGGTTAATTTGATCCCACTGAGAAATCAGGCAACCTTCCAATTCCTTTAAACATCCTTTTGTTGAATTTGTGATAATCTGAGTTTTAACAGATTTGTGCTGTCTTGCAAAATATTTTTTGGCAGGAACTTGGCTGAAAGATGCATCTGAGAAACAAAAGTTGCTTGTCAATAATAAGGGAATTGGAGCCCTATTCCTATTTGGCAGTCTGCCACTAGGCTGATGGAGGAACAGAGCAGCTGGCCTTGTTTCAAGAGAATGACTGGCTGACCTCTCCTAGCTGTAGCGGTGCATGTTTAACTGTTGGACCCCCAGGGAGCCTACCTACTGGAGTTCTCCCCACAAACAAACAAAAAACTTAGAAGAAATGTGATGGTACAGAAAAGACATGTATGTTTCTGTATGAGGAGAAAAAAACCTTCAGATCCTCTGTTTGGCAGCATAGGATCGGAAGGAAGAAGGTGACCCTTTGTAGAACCATATTCAGAAGTCCCCTTGCTGCCCCCCCACCTCCTCCCTCTGCCTGTCTACTCATAAGCATCTAGGGACATCTAAAGATATCAAGGCTGGGGGGGGGGACAAGAAAAAAGGGGGTAGTTTTGTTTTTCCAGCAGCCTCCCCCCCCCAATAAATTCCAGTGGAAAAACTGGGAATCTGGAGGATCTTTGACAAAATAAACTACTCCTATGAAAAAAAATTCCATTTGGAAAGAGTGAAATGCTTTTGAAACGGAGAGTGAGTGTTCTAGAAACGCTAGTCAAGAATTCCTTATTCCTAGTAGCAGCCAATTGACAGTGATATCTGAAGCAAGGGATATAGGCATAATAAATTAAATCGGGTCTGAGCGATGAAAAAAATTCTCACAACCTGTAGTTTCCAATGATACTACAGTAGAGCCCCCCCATTTTAGTGGTGTGTAGTAGTGTTGTATTTCTTCTGGTTCAGTCGGTCACAGACAAAGACGTCCTTTCTACAATCATACCGCATGACGATGTGTCGCTTAGGGTGTGCTGCCACCGCTTTTGCCAGTGTGTGAGAAAAGTGTTTTGTTTCTTGGCTCTGACAAGGTTGGGCATTGGTTGATGGTATAATGTATGCTATAAGCTTTGACTTTCTCAGCCCCTTTGCTCCTGTGTTCCTTCATGATTTACTGTGGCCTGTGGGCTTGCTCTTTGTAGCAACCTTTCTCTTCAGAGGTTACTTCATTTTTGTTATGAAACATCATTAAATCCCTTCTTCCTTGGGTAAATTGTGGTCATATGACGTCAAACACAAAAGGCCTAGTCAAACCAGGTCTCTTTCATTGGCTTGCACTGCATGTGCTTGGGTAGCCTCTCTGGGTGACCGAGAATAAATTCATCTTGGGTGCAGCATTGCATTTTAGTGAGTGGGAACATGACCTGACCAGAAAATGCTGAAGGGAGTGAAATTGCTTCCTGCTCCTGAACTCTGGAATCTAGTAACTGGAGATGTGGGGTTATTTTTCTAAGGCAGGATGTTTGCCTGGTTTGGGAAAGGAAATCTTTCATGCCACTTGTTTGGAGAGTGGTCTCTGGATGACTGTACTCCCTGCCTTTCGCTCTGAAATCTGTGCCGTATTTCCCATACTGTTTCAACTCCTACAGGTTGGATTTCATAGGCTTTGAGCTTTGGCTGTTAGTCAAAATAATTGTGCCTTTGCTCTCTGGCTGTGTTTTCAAATGTTCTAATTCCAGTTGGCTAAATCCACAGGGCTCCTTCAGGCATATCCAAGCCTTTACATTTGCCCAGTAGTACCTGGGGATTCTTCCAGTGCTAAACAGGCTTACTCAGGAGTTCTTGTCTCACTGGC